GGCTTTCCTCTTGCAGGATTTTCCCCAGCAGGATTTTTTTCCCAGCTGGATTTAAGGCAGCTCTCCCTGAGCCCAGCAGGATTTAAGGCAGATCTCCCAGAGCCCAGCTGGATTTCCCCCAGCACGAATTTTCCCCAAGCACGATTTTCCCCCAGCACGATTTTTTCCCCATCTGGATTTTTTTTTCCCCATCTGGATTTTTTTTTCCCCATCTGGATTTTCTCCCCAGGTACCTGATCTGCTCGGGGGTCCCTCCTGACGTGGCGTTGGTGATGGCCCACGCCGCCTCTTTCCTCGTGCGGAATTCCGCTTTCTGCAGGATCTCGATCAGCACCGGGAAAATGTTGGCGTCTATCACTGCCTGGGAACAGAGGGGTTGGGGTTGGCATTGTTCCTAAAAGGATTCCCTGAAAAGATTCCATTTCCCAAAGAATTTCACCAATTCCTGTGTTTTATTCCCCAGGCAAATCWTATTTATGGGAAATATTCCATAACKAGCACAACAGAAAATTGCTGATATTGCACCAATGCTGAATGCATTCTGCTCTAATGTAGCTAAGGGGAATTAAATCAATAAATTTAATACATTTCAAAGTATTAAATTTAATAATTTAAATAAATCAATAAATTTAATAAATTTATAAATATCCACTTTAATAAATTTAATGAATTAAATCAACACATTTAATAAATTTCTAAATATTAAATTCAATAACGTTAATAAATTAAACGAATATAATTAATAAATCTATGTATTAAATTTAATAAATTTAATTAATACATTAAACCTCAACGAGCTCCAGCTCCTCAAAGGGATTGAGGATGGAGAAAKAGGGGCTGTGCCTGTTCTTATTCCAACAATCCCACCTGTGGGATTCACTCCAGGCAGTGCTGCTGCCATTCCCAAACTCTTTTTTCTTTTTATCTCATTTAGCAGAAGCACCAAATTTGCAAATTAATGCAGAATTAGACAGGAACAAATACAACAATCAGGGAAGGAAAAACTACAAATCCTTAAGACTGAGTTTGAATTCTGGGATCCCCAGAGGTGGTGCTGCCTTGATGGCCAGTTTTTAATAATGACACAGACA